GCACTGGTATTGTTGAAGCAGGCAGACACTGACTTGTAATTCTGATGTAAGGCAGAGTCACAGTGAAACACTCAGTGACACAGGAAAGAAAAGAAAATCAGAGTAGGAAAAATTCTAATGGAGAGATAAAATAATAGAAATAGCTTTCACACAGGGAAGCAGTTATCTATATAATTCATGCACAAAATCACCACTGAGGATTCAGCTGCTGCTGGAACAGAGTCCAAAGACAGGAGGGCAAAGTAGCATCGTTGCAGAAGACACGTAATGTGCCCTGAAGTGTTGGTGTGGCTGTTTTCAGGGAGAGCAGGGCTGTGTGCTGGGCTGATGGGAAACTGGAAACTTCCAGTGGCAGCATTTGTTTCCTTGAGAAACTCTGAAGGGCTGAGCTAAAGCACTGCTGTGAAGTCCTGGGTCAGGCAGCCACGGAGGGTGATCGGTGCTGCAGGGAGAGGGCTCCTCGTGCTCCCTGTGCTGTGTGAGGGAACAGCCTGGCATGGGCTTGTCTGGCTACCACTGGAAAGAAAATAAATTCCTGAAGAAGTCCCAGTGAGTGGCATTTGGAGTAATTCATGTTTTGTGAGAGACCTATATATTAAGTTTTAGCCTTGGGAAATGAGGCGGACATCCTGGCTGGGATTACAGTAGTCAGAGGCACTTTTTCCAGCTTGCCTGTCCACTCAGGAATCCTTTGGGAAGGAAACAGTTTGGTCTCATTTTGGATATCCTGTGAAACTGAACTAGCATGGTTGTCAGGAACTGAAAAAAGTTATTTAATTTTTAAAGAGCTGAAAACTGCTGTATGTGCTACTGAGTACTGTACGGGAAATCACTGTTTTGGTTTGTTTGTCTGGATTTCTGGAATTTCCAGTTTACTCAGCATAGCAACCCTGTCTCTTGATCCTAATGCAGCAGTCTCTGCAAAGTGGAAATCTGAAAACAGATTCAGGTTTAAATAGGACTTTCTGGCCCAGCCTTAATGTGTTTGGAATGAAGTGGGAATTTTCTTTAGTTCAAATAGGGGAAAGCATGAGAAATATTCAGAGCACAATCCAACAATGCACTGAAAACAACGACATTTTACTGTGATTTCCAAGCACTGTAGGGAGGGGTCCCAGGAATGCTGAAGATATAAAGTGGATTGTGTTGGTAGTTCATTTTCTTGCATCTCTTAACTAAACTGGAATGTAAGTGGACATCCATGGACTGAAACTTTAATCTTCCCTTCACAGTCCAAAAACATTTTGCAGCAGCTGCACTAAGTTATCCTGCTATTTTCCAAGGTGTGACCTGATAAAAGTATTCTCTGCTTTTCTCTGGTCTTGAAATAGTGATCCTGGCATTGTGTGACTGCTAACAAGCTAGCATCCAGACATCCAGGCTGTATACAAGCCTACACAGACTTTTAATGTGTAGCCAGAGAAGGGCTGTCCCCTAAATAAACACTGAGGAGATGTCTAAAATATCTAGTTATATATAGGAGAAAAGTGCTGATGTTGGAGCGTCAGCGTCAAACTGATCAGGTGCCCCAGGCAAGGGCATAATGCAGGTTCCTTACAAAGGTAAGAAAACTTCCAGCAAAATAAATCTCTCAAGTGGTGTGTCAGTGCTAAGGAAAGCTGGTGTTCCTAGAGATCCTAACACTGCTGCATGTGCTGGGGAGCTGCCGTAGAGAGGAGTCCTGGCTGGCTCTCCACCATGAAGCTGGGAGCAGGGGAACCCAGAAGCTTGAAGAGGAATTTGTCTCCTACCTGTATAGCAGGGAGCCTAACTTGAGCTTTGAGCATGTTGGATTTGTATCCTGAAAATGCTGGGGAATGCATGCAGAGGGTTGGCTCTGGAGTCACAGATGTGGCATGAGCTGCTGAGCCTGGCTGTTCCCACAGGCATGGGAGTGGCAGGGATGTCCATTCCCTGAGCATCATCTGGGTGATTATTTCAATAAAACAATCATGTGTGTTGGAGTTTTTCTGAATGAAAATTTTTCTGAATTTACAGCTCAGAGAAATGCTGAAAATAGTTTGCCCTTTTCAGGCTAAGCCCCCAGTTTAAGAAGCTGTTTATCTCCTGTAGACCAGAAGTCTTGTTCTCTTATGAGTTATCTTCTTGTTTATTTCTCTGCCAGCTTCACACCTGTAGCTGAGACCCAATGTCAACAAAGCTAGAGGAAACAAGCCAGCATGTCAACTTGAGCCTCAGTTTTAAACACTCTCTTCCTTTACTGAGTGTCACATCTGGCAGGGGCAATTACTCTTGGTAGGATTATTATGGACCTAAATCTGTGTAAGGATGATGACAAAAGAGCTCAGAATTAGCCCAGTACTTCTGGGGTACAATGGCATTTCCTTTGCTGAAACAAAGGAAGTTCTTTCCCCTTCATTCTTGCACTTCCCTTTTAATACAAAACATCCTTTGCATACACATAGACATTTGAAAGGTTTTTATGTTTGGGTCTGTGGTTGCAGAATTTGGCTTCAGGGTTTTGACTATGGCTGTTGGAGAGAAAAGCTGTACGGATAACTTTTAATTGTCTCTTGTGTTTGTTATGCTTTTGTTGTTTAGTATTTTTAAAATCAAATTTATTAAGGGAACCTGTTCACTTTTTATTATTGGTAAGGCAAATGTGGGTTTATTAACAATTGCACTAATGCATCGAATTTCTGATTCCTGGGAGTTACTCTGCCACACAGCTTCATGCAGAAGAGTGAAGTGGGAGAACCTGCTCCAGGTCAGCAATAGCACAAGCACCCTGCTTGGTCAGGGCTTTGGGAAGGATTTGCCAGGAGCAGAGCACGAGGCTGTGGGGGACACCTGGAGCACTTTCTGTGTCTGTAGAACCTGTCAGCAAGCTGGTGATGAACTCAGGCCTTGTAAATCTGGTTCTATGTAAAGCAGCCTTGTCCTTGTGGCATTTGTAGCCTCAACAGATCTGCTGTGAATATTGGTGACAAAAGCAGCTGTTGCTTCTGTTAGATCTGCAAGGCCTTTATGGGGAAATGATGTTCTGCCTTCCTCAGCAGCAAGGGAAGAACTGCTCAGAGCCCTGCCTGCAGTGGTGTGAGTGGGACTGGAGTACCCACAGAAACTCCCAGCAGGGTGCGGGGGAAAGGCAAGGAAATGTGGTGGTAAAAGCACATAGCAGGGATAGTGAGATCTGCCTGCAAAAATACTACAAGCCATGTTATACTTCTAAACACTTTTATACTTGTCATTTTTGGGTAGAGCTTTCTCTCAGGTGGAAATTAATCCTCAAGTTGGAGCACTCACCAGAGGTGAGCAAGGCAGGCAGGATTAATTTCAGTGAAGGATCTAAGAGATGGAGAGGGAGAGAGGGCATTGGGTAGAAAACAGTTGGGAGTTTCACACCAGTTCTCACCAGGGAGGCAGGAAGGAAGTGGAAAGTGGCAGGAGACAAAGTACAGTCTGAAAGTTAGAGACAAGAGATAAATAGGGATTGTGAGAAATAACACAAGCAAAAAGGCTAATGATGTATTTATGTGAGGCAGGAAGGCTCAAATGGGGAGCAAAGCTCTGGCTTAGCTTTGACAAAGGTGACACGAGGGCCAGAATTTTCTAAATGCTGCCGAGGGGAGAGCAGGGGGCTGGGCTGTTGCTGTGTGTGGATTTCTGCTGCATTGCACATCACTGCATTACATGTTTAGTTCTTCAACAAACTTACACTTCAATGCAGCGATTGGCCTCAACTCTTTAGCAGTGCGTCTGCATGCTGGCCCGCAGGCAGGAGAGAGCACAAATTCAGGGTCACATTAGCGATAACGTACCCAACGTGGGCTATTGTACAAGAATACTTTGAAGCTGAGCGATACATCAGCACTTCTTTCAAGGAAATTGCCAAATGCCTTTATTACAACACTGCCCCTCGCTGCTGGCATTGCAGCCGTCCTGGTGTGCTAATAGGCACCAAAGACACTTCAATCACTTTGTCTTGAATTTATGTCTGCAACCGTGAAAGTACAGATTGAGAATTTCGGTCCCTTTGCTTGCTCTCTGCGAGGGGACAAGGCCCTGAACATCCTTTGAGAATGCTGAAGGACTTTGTCTGAGAAATGTTCATTTCCACTGATATTTGTCTCTAAATACGAGGCCCACGAATACCCACAAGTCCTTCCAGCCTGCTAAGCTATAGTCGCACGGCTCGTTCTTCCCGCGGTCCCAGTTCCCGGGCTGTGGGGCTGCGAGGGGCCGCGGTGGAGCCGCTGCGGGGCTCGGCTGAGGGGCTGCTGCCAGCTCGGCCCCCCGGCACGGCCGTGTCCCCGTTCATCGTGGGGCCGCGGGGCCGAGCCGACTCCGGGAGCATCGCTGGGAGCACCGCTGGAGCTGGGAGCATCGCTGGAGCCCGGCGCTGGGAGCATCGCTGGAGCCCGGCGCTGGGAGCACCGCTGGAGCTGGGAGCATCGCTGGAGCCCGGCGCTGGGAGCACCGCTGGAGCCCGGCGCTGGGAGCATCGCTGGAGCCCGGCGCTGGGAGCATCGCTGCCGTCAGCCCCCGGGCTCATGTTCGCAGCGCCCGTCACCCGAGGGGAAGGGGCTGTCAGTGTCTCAGCTGTGTGTAGTATATATAATTTATGTATAAAATCCTGCTCTTTGGGCACTGTCACTGCGGTTTTGGGGGTTTCGGGGGTTTGGTATGGGGCAGGTGCATTGCCCCGTACGCCGTGCGGGAGCGGAGCGGGGTCCCCGCTCTCGGCCCGGCCCTTCCCGGCCCCGCGTGGGGCGGTGCGTGCGGGGGAACTCCCATATCCCACATGCCGTATTCCCGAGGCGATCCCCCCATTCCCGCCCCGCGTGGGGCGCGGAGCGCGGCCGCCCCCGCCCCGCCGGCGGCAGGTGGCCCCGACCCCCGCCGGCGCCGCACGTCACTTCCTCGCAAACTTTTCCCGAGCTGCTCCCTCCGCTAAAGTTGCCGGGGAGGGCGTTGGGGCGGGCCGGGCATGCCCGGCTCGCTGCGCCCGCCGGGGCACGGCCGGGCCGGCGGGGGCCGCCCGCGGCACCGCTAGCTCGGGGCCCGCAGCCATGGCCCGCAGCCTGGACGGCATCGACCTGGCGGCGCTGCGGGTAAGGACGGCCGGGGGCTGCCCCGCGGCGGGGCGGCGGCGGGGGGGGACGCCCTGCCCCGGGCTCGGGGCTGCCGAACCCGCTCCTCGCCCCGCGGCGTGTGCGAGGCTTCACCCCCCGCGTTCCGCCGGTCGGAGGGGGCTCCGCTCTGCCGCGCCCGGGAAGGAGCGCCCACGCTGGGGACGGCAGTGGGGGGACCGCGGGACATCCGTGGCGGCGGCGGGGACAGCGGCGCGATGCTGCCCTCGGGCTCGGGGTGCAGCCTCGGAGCTCCCCGGTCCCGCAGCCCTCGGGCTCCACAGGTCGCGCTCCCTTGGCTGGAGCGGGGTCCCGCGGGAGCGCTGCCCTGCCCGGCTGCCAGCGCTGCACCGCCGAGGCGCCTTCCCCTGCCAGGGTAATAAATAATTCCCAGCGGCATCCCGAAAGGTGTTGTAAATGCTGTGGAGAGAAAACAAAAGGGAAACTGTGATCTTCTGGAAGAAAATACGTGTGGGGGGGATGTTGGCTTTTGTGGCCTTTCTGTTGTTATTGAAGTTTGGGATTTTTTTATCCTACTCCCCCTCCTTCCCCCAAGCTAAGAAAGTCAGCATTCACCTGGGTTGCTGTGCATTTTTATTGTTACCTTCTCATGTTTTTCATGTAAGCCAGACTTTGGCCACGTTAAAACCTGTGCTGTCAGTGTTTCGCATCCACAAAGCGGTAACAGGGCTGTGTGTGATGCCCCCGAGTTCCACTTGCCCTTTTCACAGGAGCTCACCACCAAGCAGCCCATCCAACCCAGGCAGGTCTTTTGTGGAGCACTCTCGACGGAAGAGGAGGGAAGAACTCCATTGTGGCAAAAAGCAGTCATCCCCAGGCAGTGATACCAAAGCAATATTTCTAAAAATATCAGGGAAAATAGAAAGAGGGCTGGGAGAAGCCTTTGCGATATTCACGTGGCGAGGAGGGTGTTCCAGACTGGAGGCAGAAAGAGGAAAAGCAGCAGGGACAGTAAAGTTAGGAAGGATGGCAAAAGGCTACTGACTAAGCAAGCAGAAGTTTAATCTGGCTCTGTATGGGGTGTAAGGCAAAATAATGTTTATTATTTTTAATTCTTTAGAGCTTTAGCAGATGAATGTTGCCTCCTTAAATAAATAAGGAAATAGTGTGAGTTTGAAAAGGAGTCGTTCTGCAAAGCAGACAGCAGGCTTTGTGACAGAACCAAGTGAATCACAGCCTCCAAAGCCTGAGAGCACTGTGTCAGCCTCGACAGGGGAAGGGATAAATGTCTCGTTTTGGAAGAAACCCCTTTGAACTTGTCAGCAGTCAGCACCCCACCCCATAGTTTGGGGTTTGTGCTAAGTAGGAAATGGGAGGTAGCTGAGCTGTGGAAATTATTTAAAGACAGGTGCCTTGCCTTTGTCATGTCTGAGGTGTTCCTGAGGCCAGTGGGAGCTGCCTGGTGCTGTGCTCCAGCCTCCCACAGTTGTGAGCAGGGTCATTTTCAAACTCAGATTGCCCTCCTCCCCTCCAAATGAGTGTTCAGCAGGGCTCTCCCCTTTCCCTGGAAAACAAGGGCCCAGGTTTCCTGGTGTTGCTGGGTTCACCAGGGCAGTCAGAGGCTAAAAAGCCCCTGAGCTCTGCATTAGGTGCTGGGGCACAGAGGCCCTGTAGAACTTGTGCTTCAGACACCTGTATCTTCTTTAGCTGCAGGGATGTGAAAAGTGCATTTTGGTCATGCTCTTGCTGCATGTGTTGCTTTTCATTCTGCCTTGCAGAGGAGATGGATGTGGCCTGGGTAGCTCTGGGTCAGCAGTCTTGCTCTTGCTTTCTGAGTGCGCTGCAGATGACTCGAGGGAAGCCAAGGTGGTCACCATATGGTGCTGTGTATGATGGTAATTAACCTTAGAGTGATGAATGTTCAGGCCGGTATTTTGGCATCTTTCAAAGGGAATTTGCAATTTAGCAGGTGCTGGCTGGTGAAGGGTTAGCTGGACCATGGGCTTAAGAGGTAGCTGAGAGGGAACACTACATCAACAATGATATGTAACTCCAAGATAATTAAGAAGGTGGCCCATTGTGAACAATGCCAGCAAACAACTCAGTGCCGATATCCAAGCAAACAAGGGCAATCCAAGGACCAGAGCCCAGATTAATATCCTTTATGACTCTTAACAAGGCTTGGTTCACTGTGGTGTCCTGATTAAAAGAGGAGAGATGGCCAAGTATTTGGCTGCACTCAGACCTGTGGAGGCTTGAGATGTTAATGCTCAATTTTCTAGCAAGGACAGGATAGGATATGCACTATATCAACTTTAGTGCTACTGTTTATTTAGATAATTGTTAGGGTCTTTCCTAGAGTGTCAGAAGCCTTTAGAAGGAAACTATTAGGGTGCTAAATCAGAATTAAATTTATTGAAAGATAAAAGAGAAGCTAATTTTGAGGCACTTAAATTAGTATATTTGCATAATGAGCTTAAAGAAGAAGTGTGAAGACAGCACACATTTAAGTGAGAGAGGCAGTTGCAAAGTCCAAGTTGAAAATGCAATTTAGGTTCCTCTGGGTTTCTGTGCACTGTGGGCACTTCTTAATTCAGCAATGCTGCTTTGTGCAGGAGAGCTGGGGAATTAGCTCGTGCTTCCCGGGGAGTGCAGTAGATATTATACATGGAAGCTCTTTACTGGGAGGGTTCCTCAGAGAGCTGCTGTGAGTTTCACTGCCTGGACCATGAGCTGCCTACAGCACAGTTCTGTGCAGAGGTTTTGTACCACCCACCAGTTGCTTTAGCAGTAGCAATGGTTTATTTGCTGACTTCAGTCCCACTGAAGTAAAGCATTTGTTTATATGCAGATGAGTCAAAATGTAAAATGAGGAAATGAGAAGAAAGCAAACTTCAGTGAGATCCAGTCTTGTAGGCATTCTTATGCCTGTGCTTAAGTCCATATATGAGAGTTCCCAATGATTCCCTTTTAACTGACGGCTTTTGGAATTGGAGTTTTAGTCTAGGACGCTTACTGACTTGTTTTAAAATAAGAGACGGAAAAAAAAAGACGCAGACTGACCTGCATGGGTCAAAAGTAAGTCATCTTGATCTGATTTACACATTTTCTTTTTTAAAAAAAGAAAAATGTCTTGTAAGGTTGACAGTTCAGGAAGTTTAAGATTAAAACTCATTTAACTTACAGCCAAATGAACTCACTAGTGCTTTCAGTTATGGAAGTCTGGGCTGTGTTGCTCTGAAAGCTCTTGGTGTTTATCATGACAGTTGTGACAATAAAGGTAGAATCTGCTCAGAAAAAAAACCTGTGGTTCCACTGGGATTTTGCCAAGGTAAACATTTCTTTATCAGATATGAAGAAAGAATTACTTATATTAAAAGATTAACATGTAAGTGGAGTGGGGATAGTAGCTTGATACCTCCAAAAAAAGGATGTTTTGCAACCAGGAAAACCAATAGAATTTGTATCTCTGAGATCGTGTTTTTCTGTATCACATCCCTCAGCAGTACCAATAGGCATTAACTGACATGACAGATTGCTGAAACAGATGTGGTAAAACTGACACATGGAGTTAATAATATTTTATATAAATCTCTTAGTGATACCATGGCAAGAAATGAGCAGAGTGATAAATGGCTTAGTCAGAAACCAAGAAACTGTTCTCTTGAGTTCTTAATGGTTTTAAATAAATCGCTCAAGTGAGTTTTAACTGGTGTTTTTATGTACTCAGTCATTCAGGAAGGAGCACTGCCTGTGCCTGGCAGCAAGATGGGCTGCCTGTACCTGAGGGGTTGCAGCAATGTTGCAGGAGAACCTCAGTGGTTGGTTTTAGAGCAACTGGTGCTATAGCACGAGGACAGAAGTTCATTCATGTGGAATGGTAGACTGATCACCTGACTCATTAATCTTTTATGTAAATTAACAGCAATCTAGTTTGGGTTCAAAGCCAAGAGTTCAATACCTCAGTCAAATTCACTTTGTTATGTTTGCAGAATAGGAGAGTTGAGTGTTCTCAGCTTGCCTCTAAGTTAATGTTGCCTGGTTTGGTACATTTCCCCTCACTGAGGTAACTGGGCTCAGGTGCTTTATATTGTAATTTTTTCAGTTCTGCTCTTTGGTTTTTTTCCTTTGTTGTAGTGCTCATACCAAGTGTTTCACAGCAGAGGACAGCAGCTCAGCCTCCAGGCTAGCTCAGTGTGGTAAGGCTCAGGAACTTGGAGTTTTTCCTTATTCTGCTGTCAGCCAAGTCAGCAGTTGAATTCTAGTATTTTTAACACACATCCATTTATTTATTGTATCTGCTGTAGTACCTGCCAATCTTCACCGAGTTGTTTTGTATATAGAGTTTTGCGAAACTTGACTGAAAACTTAAATATTAATGCATTTCTTACCCTGTGGTTTGGCAATTTCCCCTTTAGTGTGTAATGCAGATCATTAGGAGATGTGCCTGATTTCCTTTTGATGGTGTACAATTAGTTTATGTTATGAATTGGTTGCTGGAATCCAAATAATGTTATTTCTTCTGCTTTTTGCAGGACCCTGCAGGAATATTTGAACTGGTGCAAGTTGTTGGAAATGGGACATATGGACAAGTCTATAAGGTTTGGATGCCTCTTTAATTTAGGATGCTGTTCTTGATAAAGCTGTATTACCTAAAGTAGAAGCAAGCACCATTCAAGAAGGCAGGCAATTGTTCCAGTAATAGCCTGGTTTATCTTGCTCTCTTTTCTGCATACTGCAAAGTGTACTTCCTGTGAAATTCCATGGCCCTTCCTTCTGTCCTGCTTTCATGTTTTCTCATTGCTGCCACAAGTCACATAAGCGGTTTTTGTACTGACTTGCCTCTACTCTGTGCTTACTTTCTCCTTTTCAATTTTATTTAAAAGGTGTCTGGCAGAAATTTACATCAGTGATGGCTGAATCTGGCCTGGACTGGGTGAAGTTCAAAACTCAGACAGCAGTGCTCTTCAACACAGAGGTGTCAATTAGCCCTGCTCTGCAGGCAGGCAATGAAGTTTTTGGTTTCTGTCGTTACCTTTGTCACTGTGGTATCAAAGCAGAACCACCAAACAAGAAACTGCAGCAATTAGCATTGTTTGCCACAACACAGCACTCTGTTCACTGTGCAGTGCACAGCTTACTTTAGTTATAACAACAAGCCTAGAAAAGTGTTCTTTCACTCTGAAGCCTTCCCTAAAAGTGATTTAAGAAGAGGAAATAATTGTGATTAAATAGAGAACCAAGTTCCATTTCAGGAACGAAGGCAGAGGAAGGAAAAGGCCATGCTGCTGAACCCTTGAAGGTACATCAGAGGAGCAGTGGCATTGGAATAAGTCTGGTGTTGCTTCTCCCTCAGGTCCCACTTCTGACAAGCCCCTGCTTGGCAAGTCCTTGTGTGTGAGCAGGCTCTTTGTGCATTGATCCCTCTGAGGGAAAATGCAGAAAGGTCCTGGTGCAGCAATGCAGGATTGTTCTTTCTCCTGTGCACTGATACATGCTACATTTTGGTGGCTATCCTCTGGTGGCAGATCTGCTGTAATCACATTTTACTTTCCCTTTGAAGCTATAGGTTCTGGAAAATGCTTCACAGAAGCAATTCTGGGAAGTCTCTCTTTTCCCATGCTACCATTTTATTATTATTATTTTATTTTTTTTTGTCAGAAGCAGGATCTTTCTCATGTAACTCTTTGTGGTGGTGAAGTCTGTTGTTTCTGAGATTGTCATTCAGATACTGTTCAGAATACTACTGAACTAAAAGTACATGCTAGGGGTTCACATGGACAGATTAGAAGCCAGGAGAGATTTAGAGGTGCTGTTGTTTTTTACCTGCAAAAAGATCCCAAAACCTCTTGAATGTTCTGTTCAATAGTTGACTTGCTTTTTGTGTCTGGATTTATTTTATATTGGGAGAGAAAAATTTCAATCTGGTAATCTTTTATGAGTGTTGAGTTTGAATCAGCTGCTTAGTCATGGCAGAAGCAGGAAGGAACAACGTAGTTTGCTTCTGTGCTGCAAAAGAAAATGTTTTGAGCTGTCATGTAGCTCACTAGAGTGTTAGTTGCCAAAATGTGCAAGAAATATTGACAGTGACAATTTAAAATTGTACCCAAAGGCTTATTTCCACTGAGCATGCAGGAAACCAGGGTCTGACAGCTCTGGGAATGGGGTGATCTGAGTCTCTGCTCATTCTGCACTTGCTCTGGCTGGAACTTCTGTGTAGCATATCCTCTGATCTATAAAATGCTAGGACTGGTAGCATGAATGAATGGAATTCTGAAATAATTTTGCAGTTTGTCTGCTATAGGCATGTGATTATAAATATTTAAGTTGTTAATTAGTCTCTGTTATCCATATACTTTACTCATATCATTAGAGCATGTTTTTATTCTCCTGAGGTGTTAGATTCTTCCTTATGATCAGAAACTACACATAATCAAAGAAAAACTTATTTCAGGCTAAATAAATTATATTCAGGATTACTAAATTCCTTTGTTGGCTGTGAAGAGGATTCATATTGTAATATATGCAACTCTATAAAAACGAAAATAAGATTTTGAGGATTCATCATTACGATTTGGAAAATGGATTTATTGAAACAGATTTATTGAAGGAGAGTATTATTCATACTGAATTATTCCAGTTCCAGCTCAGGGTTTTCTAAAATGAAATGGAAGAGGTATGAATTTTACACATAACAACGCTAGAGCTGAGTAGAAATGTTACAAAGATTTGTGTATAATAGCTGACTAAAAGCCAGCAGATTTTTTTTGACAGCTTATGAAGTAGTAGGACATAAATACTCCAGTACTGGCAACTTCAGCCTTTGGGAAGCATGAATTGGGTGTGGAAAAAATTCCAGTGGTAGCCAGAATTCATGAGACTTAGGCTTCATTACCTCTTGAAATGACAGGTGAGTTTTTCAGTTAATTCCTGGTTTCCATGTCCTGGAATCCAAAGAGCAATCCTATGTAAGAGGTGATTCAGAATGCCATGGGAGGTGGTAGCACAGAGTCTTCCCTGACAGTAAGGGAAAACTGAAAGTAGTTGGAAATAGTGCTTTTGGTGGTGGTTGGCAGGTAGGAGTATTGACTCTTCCATGCCTTTGTCTCCTCAGTGCTGAGGAGCTGAAGGTCAGATAAGTGTCCCGTCTCTGCACCATCTCCATTGAATGCACATGGGAAAGATCTGTTTCTGAGCATCCCATGGACCGCTTCTGGCAACGTCTGTCCATCCTCCTGCATACTCTTGAGGCCAGGGATGAAAATGAGTGTGCAGGGCATGAGCAGTTGCTCTCCAAAGTATGAGGGCCAGCACTTTTGAGGGTTTCTAGAGCTGCTGATCATTAAGGACCTTTGGACAGCAGAGAAATGTTTTGTATCATGTAACTGTTGGTGTCATCTGGAGGAAGTGAGAAGGCTGAAGGTGTCACTTGGAAGTCCTTGGGATCTGTTGAGACATTGCATTGTTGTGAGTTCTTTGCCTATTCCCATTGCCTCCAGGAGTTTATCTGCATGGACTCCCTGGCTCTGAAGTGCTGGACAGTGATGGGCCATCACCCACCCTTGATGTAGAACACTTGTATGCTGGTCTGTGCTTGTGTGCCTAGTAAACTAAACTCTAAGTTTGGGGGAAGTGAAGTATTTTTGTCAAAGATTTCTGCTGTTAGTTTCATAATCTTTGATGAGGGGTGTTTCTTCCATAGAAGCCTGTTAATGCATTTTCTATGCTCCCATTTTCAATGCAGGGTCATTTTTATGTTGAGTAAATGGGGAAGGGGACATATGGAGGCAGCTGAAGGGGTTGCTGTTTTTGGAGTGTTTGGGTCACACAATTCTTCCTGAGCTCTGGAAGAGGCTGTGAGACCCTGAGTTTATGGCTGCTCTGTTTTTTCAGTTGTCAAGGTGAAGAGGAATTGTTCCTAATCCTCTTTCAGCCATGCTCTGACAGTCCTCATCTTTCTGAAGTCTTCATGGACCAAATGAGGTCAGCAATGGTGTTTTCTGATGTCAAGAGGCACCTGACTGGGGCTTTTGTCTTCCTTATTTTTAGTGATGTGGATTAGCCTTCTCCTGGGCTTGCCATTTTTCAGTGGCCTAGGGAAAGAGAGGCCAGTGTCTTTGCATAGTTCCAGGGGCTGATGTTTTTTGGCACAGGAACTTGGAGGCTGGTGATAAACCCTGACAGATTTGCAGCTGCTGTGTGTGCAAAATGGTTGTATCTTTAATGGAGCCTGAGGGACAGGGAGCTTGGGAGAGGTGCCCTGGTTTGGAGCTGTGACAGTCAAGAGGGAAGATGTGGTTTCCCAGTGATGCAGCTGATGAAGAAGCAGGAGGGCTGTTGCTGGGGCCTTGTAGGGGTGGAAGCAACCCTGCCTTCCTGTAGTGATTCTGCATAACTAATATTTTTATTCCTCTGTGGTCACATAGGACTCAGGATACAAAAAGGAAGCAGCTCTGAGTAAGGAAGTGTGGGGTTTTGTTTGTTTGGTTTTGTTTTTTTTTAACACAGTTGCTTCTTGGCACTGAATTGAGCTTCAATTGCTGGCATGAGTCATGAGTTACTTTGCTGTTGATGTAGAGTGGCAGGAGTGCAGCAAAACATAAATACAATGTTTCAGTTTATCTTAATTTGAAAGTCTGTTAAGTTCTTCATATTCCATTCCACTGGATAACTGGCTGCTGTAATTGAGTTGGGAGTGATGGAGGGGAAGGAACCTGGGTTTTTTGAGACTGGGTAGTGTGGGGAAAGAATCACCTAACCATGCTGTTATGGAGTGTTATAATCTGTGGACTGTGTTGAAACCTTAATTCATGATAGTACCTGGAAGGTTAAATTTAAGAAACATTACAGTTATGTTCAGTATAATCCAAATGGTGAATGTGTATAAACTGAAGACTTTAAAATCATCCCTTCTGTGGGTGGGTCAGAAATAGCCACTTTCCAGAGATTGTGTCTTGGGGCTGAAATGCAATTTTAGAGTCTCCAAAGTGCTGCATAGACGTTAAAAATGACACATAATCTGAGGTTGTTCTGTTGTCATTTGTGGTGAGTTACAGTCTTCAAACTAATCTTAATCTTCAGGGCACTGAGATTTTGATGAGTCAAGAAGGGAAATCAGTTGTACTCTGTAGAAATGGCAAAATGCTGCTCTATTTCACTAGCAGTTGGTAAAAGTGCTTGTTTGTCTATCCATTTACTTTATTTTGGTTTTCTGATAGCAATGCCTATTTCTTCGTCCTAAAATTAAGAGCCAGTTAAGGGATAAAGGGATTTTACTTCAGTGTTTAATAAGGATCCTTTTGGTGCAACAATTCATCAAGGTGGAATATGCACACACATAGTAGATCATGTATACAATTTTATAGACCTTGCAAATTATTGTATCTAACGAAGATGTCCCAATGAGAGGCTTGAATGAATAATGTGACATGTCCCTATTCTAAAGTGTTCCCCCCCAGATGGGCCCAGTCCTAGTTTACAGGATGTGTTCTAGGGGAGGCTCTGGTTTCTCAAAATAGTGTAAGGCTTTCCTGCCTCCAGCTGTGAGGCCTTTGGGATGTTTGCTCTCCTGGCCTAGCAGAGCACCAGGACTATGCTATTC